CGAAGGTGTCAGACAAAACCATTTCAAATTTATTGAACCATTTCGTATGAGTCGTGGTTCTGGATGAAAAAAGATGGTGCAATATAGGACCCTTTCAAGTGTCTGGAAGCATTTTTTATCTGTGAAGGTTCCGTATTTGGAAAAGTAGTGCAAACTAAAACCCTTTTGGGTGTACCAAACCATTTGGTTTTCTTAAATAGTTTTTTAAATTGTCTAAAACCTTTTGATGGTTTATTGTTTAACGAATGAAACCTTAAAAGGTTCTGAATCTATGCTAGAACCTTAGATAGTTCCTTATAACCCGGTTTTTTTTACAGAGTACTGAAAGGAGGGTATACACAGAATTTGAGTTAAAGTTCGTTCGTCCCTTTGTCCGTTCCTTTTATTTCGTTCAAATAGTATATACAGGGTGTCCCAAAAGTTCGCCGAAAAATAAAAGTTGAATAGCTATTCAGTTATTCGAACGATTCAGCCGAGCTTTGTATAGCTTTATAGCACATTCTCTCAAGTTTTATCCCACATACGTCCATTCCTCGCTAATATTCATAATAGTCAATGTCAGCTAAAACATGAAAATCTACTCTTTTAAGCCTTCACATACGAAAGACATTAACCTCCAGATCATATCACTATGATCTCAGCATCAGATTTTCGTTTGTACATTAGTTATGTATTTTACACTCGAAATAATTTCAAAATGCTTAAAAATATGTACGTAACAAACACATAATGAAATCATGATGATATGAGTTGGAAATTAATGCATTCCGTATATGAAGGCTTAAAAAAGGTAGATTTTCATGTTTTAGCTGACATTGACTATTATGAATAGTAGCGAGGAATGGAAGTATGTGGGACAAAACTTGAGAGAATGTGCTATAAAGCTGTACAAAGCTCGTCTGAATCGTTCGAATAACTGAATAGTTAATCAAGTTTTATTTTTCGGCGGACTTTTGGGACACCCTGTAGTATAGTAACTTTTTCAGTACACAAAAGGTAACCCTTTTAAAAATTTGTTGAAGCACTATATAGAATAGGAACTGTGCAAAATTAATTGATTTGCTCTGTATATTAATTATAAACTAAGCTTTCAAAATGATAATATTTATTTTGAAAGGAGAAAAACGAATTCAAATAATAGGTGGACTTCGTTTTTGTTTTTATTTTTATTTTTTGTCATTCCAGGTTACATAGAAAGCTATTCTATCTTGTTGACCTGGCTATTTATGTAACATGAAATACGTTCCGCAGAGCGCCGTATATCAAGAAAGGTTTTCTTTTTAGATATGGCACTTATGGTAACTACAGAAAAGGTTGAAGAAAATAACCGCAAAATAGCTCTGATCATGGGAATCAGTGGACAGGTAGTACATGAAGCACTATTCTTCAATTATTTTTTGCTTTCAGGATGGAAACTACCTAGCAGAATTGCTAGTCGACAAAGGTTATGAAGTGAGATTATTTATTATTCTATAACTTTATGTTGAAAGTTATCTCTTCTTCAGGTACACGGCCTCATTCGACACTCAAGTACTTTGAATACAAAAAGTCTTCATTTAATCAATAAAAGGTTTTCTTCACAAGGAAAGAGCGGTCAGTTACATGTAAACTCGATCATATTGTTTCATATAAAATACTGTTTTTTATCCGAGCAGCTATTATTCTTCACTACGGGGATCTAAACGACACTTCTTCCATTGTGAAAGTTATACTAACTGTAAGACCGAACGAAGTGTACAATTTGGCTGCGATGCGTCATGATGAAGTAAATGATTTCACTAATTGAAGCCAGCTATAGTGCATTGAATTGCCGTCATTAAGATCTCATTTCATCTGGATGAATATACAGTTAACCTGAACGGTCTCGGCGCTTTGCGTATTTTGGATGCCATTCGCGCGTGTGGGCTCGAAAAATGTATCCGATTTTATCAAGCATCAACATCTGAATTGTATGGGAAAACTTATCAAATTCCACAAAACGAAAACACTCCCTTTTACCCACGATCACCTTACGGTCAGTATCCGTTACTATTAGCAGGAAAATTCTAAGTGATATACTTTTCTCGTAATATTGTTCTGCGTCCGTTACAGTCCGAGTAAGTCGAAGGCCTCCCGTTCACCTATCATCTTAAGCAATTTTCAACGCTCTCTTAATGATGGGCGATTTCGAGAGATTTGAATTAATGAGGTGGATTATTTCTGTTTTGGTGTGTCTCGAGTTACTTATTGGAATGTAAGTAGCTAGTTCGTCTTAAGCTGAAAGATTGGTCTTTTGTCACTCTCACATAGATAGTCCTTTAGACTGTGCATTCGCCTACATCATTTCCAACTTGCTTTTCCAAAAGGACGGGGGCCATTGAGAACATGAATCGGCCGAATCATTTACTGTCAATAGAAGCTTCTAGAACTTATACGGACCGATAGATTTCGATATAAAGAACACTCTAGAGCATGTGCTTTTGTTCGCTTGTGATATTTTTCGCGTGAAGTATGTTGTTGATTTATTTCGCGTCTGAGCTTACTTTTCACGATTTTTCATAACTAATGCTTTACTATTATTGAAAAATGACAAAAAATTTCTACAAAGAAAACTCAAATACTGTACAATTGTTGATATTCTTGGAATTTGATTGCTACACAGGTAGGCAGCACAGGCGTTTCCTCGAAATATCACCTGTTTTCACCATATTTTCGTGCTTAAAAACTCAAGCTTTTCACATTATCTTGAGAAAATCAAAATATGTGCTTCTGAATTTTTATATGAACCACATCTCGAATGGATCTTCAAACTTTAACAATCATGTCCGAGGCTATGGCGTCGGCCAATTGAGATATGTCCAATCGAACCATATCACCCCAGAGTGATTTTGAAGGCAATGTTTTCGCAAAATAAAAATGGCATATTCGGGTTCAGCGTGGTCAGTTATCCCCGTCCCCGTCGAGATCTCGAGAGGGTACCTCTGACTTTAAGCAAAATTTTTTAAATTAATTATTCATGCAAAAATGCATTGACAGAACGAAAAAAACCTATCCTCGCACAGGATTCGACCCCGTCTCGCGCCATATACGCTCATTAGCCACTCGTGCTATATGCGATTTATTCTCTTTCCTTCTCTCTCGTTCATTATTCTTAAAATCCATTGCACAGATCGATTTTGCCCGGATGATATTCAACAATAACATCATCTGAATTTGGTGGTGTACTTCACACAGATTCTTTTTTTTCTTAGGATAATTTTCGACTCAAAAATATGACAAGACGGCGAGATAATTTTTTGTTGAAGAAGACGTTAAAAATCTCAGATTGATCGTATGAAGCGAAGAGCCGATCGCTTCTTCGCATCAAAAGTCATAAACTCGATCGTAAAGGATATTTACAAATCGTTCAAGAAGTTAGAATCTCTCAACGAGAAATCTATCATTTCCAAAAGAAATCAATCTATTTTCATCAACAAATGATTAACGAGCAGCGAGGCATTTTTTACTTGAATATTGCGATAAGATTTTTGCTTCATTTGAACCGAATAAAAATCGATTATAATGTTGAAGATTTAACTGAAATGCATGAGGAAAAACTCGTATGCTTATTTCGATTTGTAAAGCTTGTCATTCTCATTCTTGTTCTTGATTTTGTAAGTGACCGTGAGAGTTCCATTTATTGGTGAACACCAAGCAGGGAAAAGCACATGTACAATATGTGGGAAGAACCGGTAGAACAACAAGAAGAGGAGAAGAAATGAAGAAGAAGAGAACGAACGAACGATAGAAAACATGACTGTATATATATATGTGTGTGATGGGGAATAATCCTTCATATATATGGGGCTGGCCAGTTTGGCCGGAAGCCTCAGTTTCATGTCTATTGTATCACTGCTATTTGTTCTTAGAAATTGATGATTTTTTTACCAGTTATTCCCTCTATTGAAAGGAGGGTTATGCGTCGAGCAGGTATTACAAAAAAAACGAGTTGATGATGGTTGGTTGGTTTGTTCGTTCGTTCGTTCTGGCACATCATTGTTCGATAGTGACTATTCAGTGATCCTAGTGGAGGACAAAGTTTGACCGGAGGGTAATCGGGGTCGAGGGTCTCGAATCCGGCGTTAGTTTTTTCGTGAACACTTTCTGGCTCGTTTTTCGCGACAAAGGATCAATTTTTTTAGACGATAGTGTTTTAAGGGGAATATGTAGAACAATATGTAATAGCTGATTGACGTCTGATTGCTGGATCTCCATGGTCATCAGCATATTAATGAGATCAAACGCTTTTATAAACAGGTATACTATACGAATATCATCTGATGCCAGTTGTTCTAAATAATGTTTCGCTTGTCAAGTGTGTCTTCGAGAATCACAGTAGAACAAAGAGGGTAACTTTTAAAGACGGAATAGAAGAAAATGAATGGATTAGTTTCAAAAGTGGTTCTAGAGTAAATGAAAGAGTGAAAATGTACATGTAACGGCTAGCCGCGAATGGCCGACCGGAGGGAGGCCGACGAGCGACTAGTCGTCGATTTGCAGAATAATATTTTCAAGAACAAATTTTGTGACTTTTATAGAGCTTTAAGATTTCTTGGTCAGAAATTAATCGTTGCTCTGCACGAACATAGCTGGCAACTATTTAAGGTTCCTAGTGGTGGAAAGAATATTGAAACCTTTTCCAGAGAATCATTTAGCTATGTAAACTTTCTAAGTTTTTGATTATGAATTGATTTTCCGAAATGTGCTCATTTTCGGAACGCGTCTTCATCCGAATGAAGTGAAGATAGTAAAATGAGTGCGCATGGAAACAGCTAGCCGTGAGTGGCCGATTGAAGGGAGGTCGACGAACGACTAGATGTTTTTTTTGAAAATTAGCTGAAGAGTGAGATTTATAAGACTGTCGCATAGCGTCGATAATTTTTCTAAGGTGTATATATACATGTATGTCATCATCATCATCATCATCATTCGGCTGCGAACAACGGAGGTCGGCAGGCGACAACAATTTTGTGCCATTCTTTTCTGTTCGCAGCAGTCTTTCGTATTTCGGTAATTGTTGGTGGTTCATCGTTA